AAGCCTTTTTCCTCTAGTCGAGTCAAGTCTGGCTCTGGAGTCATTTTAGGTCGAGTCTGAAGTCAAGTCTTAAAAATGCGACTCGAGTCTAAGTCACTAACTCAAATGCCCATTTCTGTTACACCTTAAAAATTAAATGTTTATTTAATGCTCATGAATTCCTCTTTTGTAATCAATTTATTAGGCTACTTATTAGGCTAATAGAATAGAGTAGAATAGAATAGAATAGAATAGAATAGAATAGAATAGAATAGAATAGAATAGAATAGAATAGAATAGAATAGAATAGAATAGAATAGAATAGAATAGAATAGAATAGAATAGAAATATATATATATATATATATATATATATATATATATACACACTGAGATCGGCAAGGTAAATATTTTCTAAAAACGTTAACGTGAATTCTTTTAAAGTAAACATCCCTGAATCTCGCACATACACTTTAAATGAGAACACATGAGTAGCAGTTCGATATGGCTGTATATCAGCATGGTTGCCGTAGGTTATCACAGCGTGCTAATATACAGCTATCGCACAGCTACAAGTGTAATATTGCATTTATACAACAGTTCTACAAGCACAAAAAGACAACAGTGGAGCGTCTTTAAAAACCCTCTTTTATACGGAACTACTTCCTTCTGCCATGGATTCAAATCTCAGTCTGACATTTTAACAGCTGAGCTCAAGCTTCCATTACTAATTCGAAAACGTCATTTTAGAACTATTAACGAAGGAACGTTGGGTTGCTTCATTGAAAGCTTATTGTATTACTGTATTAAGAAAAGTAGGGTATTATGAGAGATGGACTGAGCGAGTGTGATTACCTGCATCTGATACAGCATTCATTCCTCAGCTCAATGTTATATTCAGCATAAAACGTTAGTTTTAATATCCGCTGAGGAATCGTACGATATCTTTGTCGTACTATCCTTTGATCTGTTAAGGGTGATTTCCGGTGACAGCGCTGCTCACTGCATTTGTTGGCTGTGTCTTACAAGCCATTGTTGAAAATAAAAATAACTTCCTTGTTTACAACCCTGTTTAAGTCTCTTTCAATATAAAAGTCTTTACTGCTGAAAAGTAATTCATTCATAAAGGTTTTCTCTTGTTGCCACCTAATGGCGGAATAATGTAACTAAAATCAACATGACGAACACAAACACAATTTCTCAACACTAAATACTATTATTAAATAATAATAAAGAGAAAAGTTTGGAAGGGCCATTCCACCTTCAGCTTTAGATTTACAAAAGCAGGTTTTACTTATTCTATGGACTTTATAAACCCACAAAAAAAAAAAAAAAAAAAGACTAATGAGTCAAGTTGCTTGAAAAAATATTAGGCAAAAATATAATAAAAAAAAACATTAACCCTTCATAACAAGAAATTAGGAAGGGGTATCTCTAAACTAAATAATTTTTTTGCAGTTTGGCCACTAGAGGGGGAAAGTTAGCTTTGAATAATGACTGAAAATTCTTTCCATCCTCAATTCCTAAATATGTAAATTGAGACGCCTGATTTTAAATGGGATTTGGTGAAGAACTGAAAGGAATTGTACCTTGATAGGCATTCATTTAATCTTAGACCAGTTTATCCATACTCTGAGAACCAAAGTGAGAGTAGATTATCTTAAAAAGATGTCAAAGATTTGAAAAGGAGTCCCTGTTTGGAATAAATCCTGTCTCATCAGGGTGAATAAGTTTATCAAGTTACAGAACTAAGCATAATGGACAAAACTTTAGTCAAAATTTGTTGGTCTCATGTCAGAAATGAAACTGGCCTATATCTACTTACTTCCTCTGGTAGCCTCATTTGAATAGGAGGTAAAATATCAGCAGTATTTAAATAAGATGAGAAAAGATCACTGAATTCTTTGTAAAACTGGGACTGGGGTATCCATTGGGTCCTGGGGTCTTATTAACACTTCACTGACTAATTGTATCTTATATTTCTGAAACTAAGAGTTCTGCATTGAGGAAGTCACAGTCTTCCTGAAAAAGAACAGGAAGGTCACGACTATCCAATACGTTTTTACAGCCAGGTCATCGATTAAAGGGATAGTTCACCCAAAAATGAAAATTTGATCATTAATTACTCACCCTCATGTCGTTCTAAACCTGTAAGCCCTCCATTCATCTTCGGAACACAAATTAAGATATTTTTGATTAAATCTGTGAGCTCTCTGATCCTCCCATAGACAGCAATGTAATTAACACAATCAAGGTCCAGAAACGTAGCAAGGAGATCGGTAAAATAATCCATGTGCCATCAGTGGTTCAAGTGTAATTTTACGAAGCTACAAGAATACTTTTTGTATGCAAAGAAAACAAAAATAACGATTTTATTCAACAATACGTCTCCTCCGCATCACCCTAGCGCCATTTTGGAGAGTATCCACTGAAGGCAAACAGAGTTTTATGCAATTAAATAAAGTCGTATTTGTTCTTCAGACCAAATGTGACCATACAACCAGAATCTAACAGGATTTTGAGATATGTTTAGTACATGTTGAGTTACAGTTATACAGTCTTTGGAAAAACAATATTGCTAAATGTTCTATGCAACTGTTTTCATAGAGAGAAACAAGATACAATTCTAGTTTTAACATTATTTGTTTTCAGACATCTTTAAAAGAAAAAAAAAATCTGTTATATACAAAGGGACCCACATTTGGTTTTTGACCACTGAAAATTTGTATAATTTAACAGTTTACTCATGAAGCCACATTGAGATCCCAATATCTCTGGAAATTAACCATATAGAGCCTTAAAAATTAAAATAACAAAGAAAAGTTTAAGGACCAAAATATAAAAGATAAGATCCCTGAAGTTGCAAAGACTAAAGTCTCAAAACCAAAGAGATATTCTTTATCAAAGTTAAGACTTTGCAGCAGCAGGCCTGAGACTGATTTGGTTTAATGGCGATTAAAAAATAAGAAGTGGGTGGATTTTTATCATTGTAGGGTGGCTGTGTTCACACACGGCCAAAACACATTTATGTCCAAATCCACGTAAAAGTGGATTTTGCATAATAGGTGCCCCTTAAAGTCAACAGATTATATTATTAGACATACCTATCTGTGTTTAAAAATAAAATAATTTCTAAAGTCATTTAGACACTCTTAATCTTAATTTCTGTTACATGGAAGAAAACAAATAATGCAGGTCTATATGACATCATGCATGGTAAATCAATTTCTTTGTTCGATTTTTAATACATTCACTACAGAACTAATACAAATAAGTAATATAGTATGTATTACTAAGGTTTTAATGTCTTGTCTGCATCCATAGGCTCTTAATTCCTGTACCTGTGTCAATCCATAACACGTCTTGTTCAACTTTTCAGACAAGCAAAGATGTCATTAGACACGTGAAGAGGATACAGAAACCCTGATATTTAAACCTCAGTGCTGTATATTGCATTGGATTTATGGTCCAAATAATTTGTTAACATAATAATGTAAAGTTTGTGGCAAACAATTAATTAAAGCAAACCATTAACATTAATTGCTGACAGAAAAGGTCATACATTTACAGGCATTCTCTCTTCTGTCCCCAAAGAGTATTTGGACACATTTAATCACATTTTTAAATGACTATCATTACATAATGTAACAAAATCAAACCATTGTTATTTTTTAAGCGTGAACAAACTGGACATTTTTAAGTGTGACTTCAGCATAAAAATACTTATGTATGTATATATACACTACCAGTCAAAAGTTTTTTAACAAAAGATTTTAATGTTTTTTTTAAGAAGTCTCTTTTGTTCACTAAGCCTGCATTTATTTGATCCAAAATACAGCAAAAGCAGTAATATTGTGAAATATTTTTACTATTTAAAATAACTGTTTTCTATTTGGATAGATTTTAAAATGTAATTTATTCCTGTGATCAAAGCTAAATTTTCAGCATTACTCCAGTCTTCAGTGTTTATTTTTTCAGTAGTTATCTGAAATATATATATATATATTGTAACATTATACACTATTCCATTCAAAAGCTTGGAGTCAGTATAATTTTATTTTATTTTTTTTAGGGGGGGGGATTATAAAAATTAATACTTTTATTTAGCAAGGATGCTTTAAATTGATCAAAAGTGATGATAAAGACATTACAAAATATGTCTATTTCAGATAAATGCTGTTCTTCTGAACTTTCTATTCATCAAAGAAACCTGAAAAAAAAATTCAACATAATAATAATAATAAAAAGGTTTTTGAGCAGCAAATCAGAATATTAGAATGATTTCTGAAGGATCATGTGACTGGAGTAATGATGCTAAAAATTCAGCTTTGAAATCACAGGAATAAATTACATTTTAAAATATATTCAAATAGAAAACAGATATTTTAAATAGTAAACATATTTCAAAAATGTTACTGTTTTCGCTGTACTTTGGATCAAATAAATGCAGGCTTGGTGAGCAGAAGAGAATTCTTTCAAAAACATTCAAAATCTTACTGTTCAAAAACTTTTGACTGGTATTTATTTATTTATTTATTTAATTGTCCGAGTTCAGGTTTTTCAAAGTGAATTGTTAATGACCTCTATTTCTTGCAAAAATGTTTTGCTGAGGTAAAACACTTAACAGCTAGAAGTAAAAGCTGTGCTTCCTTTGGATATGCTGTCATCTTTACTGATGGTATACTGGTTTAAACATTTACACAGTATTTGTCCATAACATTGCAGCCATTCATATTCACCTCTTGGTCTGTTGTTTCGTCTCCATTCTTTGTACGTTTGTACTGACCTGTGCATGTGAACATTCACAAATTCATAAGAAGCTAACTATATGTCCTGAACAACACAATCAGACAGGTGCAATAAAATATCTATAATAAATTGTCACTGCATTAGATATGCTTAAAAATATACATTTTTGGAAATAATTTAATTATTTAAATGAAAAAAAAAAAAAAACACTAAAATCACAATAGGCTGTGCTTCCTTTGGATATGCTGTCATCTTTACTGATGGTATACTGGTTTAAACATTTACACAGTATTTGTCCATAACATTGCAGCCATTCATATTCACCTCTTGGTCTGTTGTTTCGTCTCCATTCTTTGTACGTTTGTACTGACCTGTGCATGTGAACATTCACAAATTCATAAGAAGCTAACTATATGTCCTGAACAACACAATCAGACAGGTGCAATAAAATATCTATAATAAATTGTCACTGCATTAGATATGCTTAAAAATATACATTTTTGGAAATAATTTAATTATTTAAATGAAAAAAAAAAAAAAAACACTAAAATCACAATAGAAACCAAAAGCAATTATAATGAAACCAAAGATGTTGAATAACAATGAACATAATTATAAAATCAATTTAGTTTAATATTATATTCATATATTTTTAAGTGTGCCTTAAGAGTCTAAGGACTTTTTAGTGTCACTGTATTGTACCAAAAAATAAGTGAGCGCAGCTATAAAAGCAACTTCAGAAAGATGATACATATAACACATAAATCACAGAACTTAATAGAAATGGGAAATAGCTCCTCTAGTTGGGCCGGAATGAGAAAAGGTTGCTCTTACATTTAGTAGTAGCTTCAGAAGTAATGAAAGCTGAATGTCTTTCTTTATTCTTGGCTGTAATCTGAAATTAATAAATGTGAAACACTGCAATTCCAACCCATGTGACTCTTTGGCTTTAATGAATGACAGATGCAGAAAGACATTAGGTGGGATTCAAATACCTTAACATCATATGTTGCATAGTAAAGATCTGAAAATTGAAACAAGCATCTGTTCTGTGGACCTGCAGTGACAGTTTCTCCATTGGATGTGATTTCAGCTATGAATGTCCCATTTCCTCCATTCCAGACTATCTCTGATCCCTTGTTTTCACATTTTATTTCAAGAGAATTGTGAGAAGGGTGAGATACTTCAATTTGTGATTGGAAAATGGGCTCTATCAAACAGAATTAAACAAAACACATTTTAGACAAACAATGGCATGTCATTTACATACAATTTAATTGCAGCATTTATGAAAATTCCATTCAGCAATTAACTGTTATTTTATTAAATTACTAACAATACACATTATAGATAGAAAATGCATGGGGGTAAAAAGGTCCAAAGCTGATAAGGACAAAATCTTAATATTCAGAAAATAACCACAAAATGAAGAATGGCAGAGACACAAGAGATTTTGAAAAATAAATAAATAAAACGTACTGGCAGAAAGTGTTGCACTGTCACTGGTGTAAATTACATAATGTTTTTGGTTGACTGTTCCAATAATACTGCAGGTATAATTTTTATATGGCAATAATCCTGTAATCCTGCAGACTGCACTAGTGCCACTGTGTTTTGTACAGCTCCCCCCTGAAAAGACAAAACATACCTGAATAAGACATTGAACATCTACTACCTCTACTAATATCATAAAAGACCCTGGAGTATTTTTACAGATAATGTGCAGATGATAAATTTCAATGATGCTGTATTGATAAAACAACAGGAAAGTGTGAGCTCTTACGATGACTGCTTCCATCACTGCAGTTGGCTGAATAACTGTCCCATTTAAACCCTGAGCATTGATGTCCCTCGAGTGAATTCCAGGAGATTTCCAATGAGGTGTATCTGTGCTGAAATCGCCCATTCTTTTGCCAGTCTGTAAGAAAGAAAAATAGAAATCACAAACAATGCAAAACAAATCTTCACAATGAGTGTACAAAAGGCTCTCTATAACACACACACACAATTTACAGTGGTTCTATTTGGATTCCTCAGTCACACTTGAATACGTCTGAATGTCAAAGTATTAGATAACATATTAAATAACAAGTATCATATATTAAATAACAAATATAAAATATATAAAATTTTTCCTAAACACATTTCATTACACCAAATACACCAAATAATGTTCTTTTTAGCAGCATCACATGACTCCTTTAAAGTGAAATCAAAGTGATACAAGTTAGAGCGATACGTTTCTTAATTAAAAGAACCGAGTTGCAATGTAAGTCCACTTATAAATTGTTGTGACAAGTTAAAGGGACAAAAACAAAGATGTTGTTACAATATAAAAATGAAAACATTCAATCAGCATTCAGCATTTAATATTATATTATACAATTGATTTTAAAGACATTCGTATAGTTTTAAGTGCACCTTAAGAGTCTAAATACTTTTTAGGGTCAATGTATTGTACATTTAACTACATGTAAACCAGCTTTTTTTTGCTATTCATCATGACATTATTGGTAAATATTCCCAGGTGTACAGGAGAGAAAGAGGGAAGAACTTTGAACCAGTGCTGTCTCTTTAATAGGAGCTCACCGCAATTTATTTGAATGGAGAGCTCATTACTCTTGATGGGGTGTTTCTCGTAAAGGATATTCTCCAGTGCAGGTGTGCTGTGTGTCTGGTAATAATGACACTGGGGTATTTAAACCATAAATTACGCTGTTTTCTGACAAATAAAGAAGAGAAAACTCATTCATCATCTGCTTGTCTGTTTAATCATCAATGTAAATATAGTATGATTACAATAAAAAATATGTAAATATGAGTTCACAGTGCCATCGAAACATTTCCAGTACTTACCGTTCTCATTATTGGTGCAATTGATGATAAGCGTAGCATTACATCGTGCTGATTTATTCATCCATTCAAACTGAGAGGGAATAGTTTCTTTGAAGTTTATGTCAGGCTTGACTGAAACATAAACATCCAGTTTATTTAAAAAAAAAAATACAGATCAAACTTTTCAAGTCACATCACAAACACGTCAGCAACAAACAGGAAAAATGACAATGAATTTGAATTAAGGTAGCAAACAAAATGTAGAATTAAAATTATAACATAATTATACCTGAAATTATCAAATATAATTTTTAAGGTAGCAAACAAAATGTAAAATTAAAATGATAACATAATTATACCTGAAATTATAAAATATAATTTTTAAGGTAGCAAACAAAATGTAGAATTAAAATTCAAGTAAAATTAAAATTATAACATATAATTATACCTAAAATTATAACATGTAAAACAATGTAAAACTGTTTTGTTTGTTTTAATTTTGTTATGATGCACAAAATATGTTGCGTACTTGTACGCAAAGAAACCAATATTAAACAGATATTAATAATCAGCGTTTGAAATGCCATCTACAGAAATGTGTAATGTATATCATTATATTTAATACAGTCATTTTGCAATTGGGCGTCCTGTGTGTTGTGACTGTTACGTCCATATATGTCCTTGTGGGAGTGCCTGTGTTTTTCTTTCTCTCGCTCTCGCTCTCTCTCTCTCTCGCTCTCTCTCTCCCCTTTCCCTATCGATCTCTTAGGCCGCCTTCCTTGACTGCTGATTGGCTCATGACGCTGTCAGTCATCATTAAGCAACTTGACGCCGACCTATCCGCTGCTGGTAAAGTTTTCGCCGGCAGATAAAAGGACACGGAGAGAAGTGAATAGAGACCTTTTTTTG